CCTGCCTCAGGCAGGGGGTTGGAATAGATGACCTCTGGAGGGGTACCTTCCAGTCCTACTTCTTTATGATTTTTTTCCCCATCTTTGATTCTCACTACGTACAGTAGCAATTAACTGATTATACATTTAATTTCTCTTTTGAAGTAGACTAGTGGCATTCATGTGTCACTTCTGTGAAATGAGAGGTGAGGAATCTTGTTTTAGGTGGTTCTCAGATGAAGTTCACAGGGCTGTACCAATGGTTGATCACAAGGTCTACGTTCACAAAAGTGTATGGACTAAATATACTATGTTCTGTAATCATGATTTATTGAGGTTACATTACTTGACTGCTTTAGATAATTTATGATTTACTATTAAGTAACTTGAACCTTACTGGGTGCAGGAGAAAGTAAGGGCTTTGCCTTTGCCTATGTGGCAGAACAAGAGCTTAACCTGAATCTTGAACCCAGGGTCAGGAGGAACATCAGAAATCTGTGCTACCCAGTACCTCCTCTATTTAACTGGTTGGATATGGGAAAATTGAGCAGTCCTGACTGTCTGCCAACAAATCTGACACAGGAAGAATGTTTCTTGTAGTAAGTCAGTGCCACTTACTGTCCTACCATCTGAGTAAATTCAGAGGTTCATAGGAGGAAGTCATGTTTAATTTCCAGTGTTCTTCCTGGAGCAGCATCTCTTTGCTCCACCACTAAATCCAAGATGAAAAAAAAAAAAACTTGTGACCTTGTCTCACCTTTTACAGAAAGATGGCTACCACAAAATTCTTAACAAAAAAAATAATAAAGTATTTTTAGTTCTTGTTAGAAGTAAAATTGGGTATTTTTTGTTAGTAAGTACAGATTCTTAGGTCGTAGAGATGTCTACCATCTTTATGGAATATATACTATCTGAGCAGCATCTCTTGCAACACTTAACAGTGAGGATGTATACCACTCTGCTGGGAATCTTATTGCCATTTGCTCTGACTGTTTCGCAATTGAGTGCTGGCATAAGGAATTCCCCTGGAGTCTTCCGAGTACAGATATAGCTGCATTTTCTCTGCTGTCTGGGGATAGTGCACTGGAATGCTAGTACTGATTAAGTTTTTTTGAGCTGTCTAAGGATTTGAATGTGCCCAGTTACCGTAAAGTTAATGGAAATCAGATGTCTGCATTTTTCTAGGAAGCTCTGAAAATCTCAGCCCTCAGCTCTGTGTAGATCTTAACTGTTGTTTTTTGTTTTTATTAGGTTTACCGAACCAATCAGTGTGCTGGGGAGTTCGTGATTACATTTCCAAGAGCCTATCACAGCGGCTTTAACCAAGGTTTCAATTTTGCTGAAGCTGTTAACTTCTGCACAGTTGACTGGGTATGTTTCTGAACATAATGCAAAGTTCCAGGTTTTTACTCCAGGTTCTGGACAAGGCCCTGTGTATGACTAGAATATGGGAAGTCCAGAGGCTGCTTAAATTCAGGGGATATACTAACTGATTTCTTGAAGTAGGCTGTCTTCCATGAAAGCTTGTGCCTTTCTGAACAAGTTAGTCTTTAAGGCGCCACCCTGCCCTACCTTTTGCCTTCGTTACAAAAACAGAATTACTTAGTATCTGGCCCACAGATCCATTTCTACCTCAAACAGCTTTAAAGAGGTATTTGTGGCATTTTTATCATATATTGTAACTGTTACTTACTGTAGTCTTGGATGAAGATTGTGTCCCAACACCTCCAAGTTCATCTTTCCCACTTAATGGCAGTTAAACTGTATGAGAGAGGAGGAGTTTTTGGTGACACCTCTTACTGGGCCAGTTGTTTAGATGGGAGAAAGTTAGAAAAGCATTGGGACACAATGGGTGCATCTACACAAGACCCTACTGCTTACTGGTTACTGCACATTTATTTAGTATTGGTATAATCAAGTACTAAAAGGCAGTAGCATCGGCAAATACCTTTTTAGTGATGCTACTGCGCAGTGGCGTACTAACACTGTTGGTGCTGTGATGCGCTACTGCGCAGCTAGCATCTTGTGTAGACATGCCCAGTGTGTCCTTTTTCAGGTCTGAACTTTAGGTTAAATTGCATGTATTCAGAGCTACTATTTTTCAGTATTTTTAAACTATTCGAACACACAAAACATTGTTCTTGCCTTTGAGAATTCTCCAAATCGGATGCTTTTCACAGAAACAAAAACTGTTGGGATTCTTTTTCATGGAGTGTCGTTCTTAAACTGCCTGAGATTTGCAATGTATGTTGGGAAGTGGTAAACAGTCCTCTGCAAAAAAGCATCAGAAAAACTGCGTTATCACTACAGAAATATTAAGAGGTTTATGCAGCCATCTTCCGGAAAATTGAACTTAACTGTTCTAAGGGCAGCGCTTGAACTGCACATCTCTGTTCATGTCCTTAAAAGTATTAGTTATCTAATCCTATACGAGAAAAAGGAAGACCCCTATATATAGCAAGAATTTTGCTTTTTTAAAGTTTTTAATCCCAATATATTCCTCCAGAAGGAGGACCCCCCCCGCCCCCCTCTAGCAACAGATTCCGCAGACACAAGCGATCAAAACATCTCCAGTGATTTGCTGTCATATCTGTCTCTTTAAATAACAGCTATTTTGGATTATTCTCAGTTTGGATTTTCTCAACACGGATTCATCATCCTATAGACCAGTGTTTATTCACTTGCATGGAACCCATTTGAAAAATTAGTAGCTGAACAAGCAGTAAGGCTCAGATGCTGTATACCTGGGTTTCCAGCTTTTGGTACTTGAGTTGTATGATTACATCAGAATATCAGCTTTTAAAAGAAAATAGTTTGTGTTCCATTTGCAATGCGCCTTCCCCCCCTGCCTCTTTTTGCACCCCCCCCCCCCCCCCCCCCCCCCGAAAACCAACAAAAAACCCAACAAAACCAATACTAGTAAATACAACCTATGTATAACCAAAACAGTAATATTTGTCTGAGTCAGTAGACAGCCCAAAATAATAGCCATTCACTCGTTCCAAGGCTATGTTCATAAGGAGCTAGACTCACTCCTTTGGGGGTTGGTGTGGTATGCTTGAGGTGCACTTAGTTTTCTTATTTTGGTTCTGAATACAGCAGGCATCCAAGATCAAATGTGAAGTCAATATTCTAAGTTTTTATAGAGCTTACTCATGGTTTCATTTTCTCTTTAATCTCTGTATATTTGATTAAAATAATGTATATTTTTTCTTTTGGATGGCTAGATATAGAACTTGTTGAACAGCATAAATGGCCTGCTTTCAGATCATTTTCTTTCTAAAGACACTCTGTGAATAAGATTTTATTTATTTATTTATTTATTTATTTATTTATTTATTTATTGCTGTCTCCAAACCTTGTTCCCCTTCCATATAGCTGCCATTAGGTCGGCAATGTGTGGAACACTATCGCCTATTAAACCGCTATTGTGTGTTTTCTCATGATGAGATGATATGTAAAATGGCTTCCAAAGCAGATGATCTTGATGTTGTGGTAGCATCTACAGTTCAAAAAGACATGTCTATTATGATCGAAGACGAAAGGGCATTGCGTGAGGCTGTGCGTAAACTGGTAAGCTTCAGGAAGTGAAGTTACAATTTATGGACAAGCATTAAAACAGTGGTTGGAAATGCATTTGTGGCCTGCGTTTATTGTAACCAATTTAAGATTCATATTTTATGCTACCCTTACTGATTTACTGTCCTGAATAGTTCTGTTTATTTCAGTGGAACTACTTGAGTTGCGGGGGGTCGGAGGGCATGAATGCAACTAATCATTATCTAAGTTTTTAGGGTCTGTCTTTGAAAGTTTTATGGCTTCTTAACTAATTAATCCATTAGCCAAAACATGGCTATTTTCACATTTCCAGGATGATATTTCTGGACTTTTATGAGTAGACATTACTTAGCTACTGATCTCCCAGCCTAAGTTAATGTATTCAGTTTATTATACTCTGAAGATTCTTACAGTTGTTCTGTTGTAGGGAGTGACTGAGACTGAGAGAGTGGCTTTTGAAATGTTGCCTGATGACGAGCGCCAGTGTTTAAAGTGCAAAACCACTTGCTTCATGTCTGCTGTTTACTGTTCATGTAAACCTGGTTTACTGGTTTGCCTGTATCATGTAGAAGATCTCTGTTCCTGTCCCACTTATAAATATAAACTGGGGTAAGTTTCAGCCGGCACAAATATTAAATATTGGAGATTAGAATGTGCTTTTCTTAAATCTTAAGGGCTTGATGATGTTCTGGCATCACTTGCAAAGCAGATTAGGCAGGCTTGATGCCATATGCCTGCTTATTCTGCAACAAACTTACTGATCTGAATCGGGATCCCAACAATCGCACGTCCTGCTATGCCACATATGCATGGCAGGACATGCAAGTTTTGGGATAAGGGATGAGATTCCAATTGTGCCCTTTCTACCAGTGCAGGTGGAGCCCAAGATCACAATCCCAGACTCTACGTGCACCAGCAAGTTCAAAGCTGGGCATCAGCAGCCCCACATGTGTGGTGGAGGGTGCCCTACTTTAACCTTTTTTGCCTAGAGCACCCATGTAGTAATTGCAGATCTGCATACCTGCCATCCTGCATGTGGGACACCCAGTGTTCACCTTTGACCCTGCTGCATGGGGCAGCCAAGAGCTGTGCCATTCTGCTTTCCCCTCCCCCACTCTTCCCTCGTGCAGACCCCTGAGCAGCCCTGGTTGGAGACTTCAGGGTGCTCTGGCCCCTGCCCCCATGCTGACAATCAATACTTGGAAACTCTGCAGCCTGAGGTTTGCAGCTTGGCCAGAGTTGTCCCCTTTTCAGTGCTGACTCTCAGCTGATTGTCAGCATGGAGTGTTTTGGGAAGTGTGGGACAGCCTAGGGTGCCACACTTTCAGTTTAAGGTTTCGATGTAAACTAGCCACAAAGATGTTATATGTAGGATGTCCTTGTAGCTGGTTTCTCATTTTATTGTCATTAATTGGCTGAATGTGTGGCAGTGTTACTGCTTATGTTGCCATTAGTGTGTTAATTGCGCCATAAGTATAACACCTGCTAGGGCCCATAGTGTCTGAGCATGGAACCTTTTTCTTGGGTGGTATACTACCTTTTTCTCATTTTACAAAGTGTCTTTCTTCTATGATATCTACAAGAAGTTGATTTGCTAACTTATTTATATTAACAAAAATCTTTGTTTCGCCATGTTGTGATAATTCTAGGCTTTTCTAAGGAACTGAGTGATCCTGTTTTTCCCAACTGCTTTTCCTTTTTGTGTTCTGCCTCTCCCTATTGTTTTTCCCCCTTTGTTTTAAAGAGCTCACAGTTCAGTTTCATATGGGAAAACAGAGACCATGGCTATGTATTTATACTGTGAAGTACCTAATGTGCTTGGGAAGTATAAAATAATGATCACTGGTAACTAAGGTAACGCAGTAATGCAAACCAAACTTTATTTTGGTTGTTAAACATGCCTTGTTTAATAGTTTGAATTCTGTAACACTTCCAGCTACCGGTACACTCTTGATGATCTCTACCCAATGATGAATGCACTAAAATCGCGTGCAGAATCCTACAATGAATGGGCTTCTAATGTAAATGAAGCTTTGGAGGCAAAAATGAATAATAAAAGAAGTATGTATTTTCCTACTTTCTGTGTTGCTACAAAGGCTAAAAATGTTACTGCTTTTTGTTCAGCTCTTAATTTCTGAAACAACAATTTTGTCTTGGAAACTTACATTGCAACTCTAAAATGATATAAATAAGTAACTGTTAAAGTTTTAAACTGTTAATAGCCTCTGAAATTAGAGAATGCTGCATAAAGGTTAAGGATGAAGAGCAGTCCTATTTTATATGTTAACTGCTCCTTTTGTACTCTTGTTTCATTTACTTAGTGCTAGCATTTCCTGACCCCCCTCTCCAATTTCTAATCACTAACTTTACATTCAGGAATGTAGTGTTGTTGAATCTTGGGACTCTAATGGCCATTTCTTCCTTGTATGGATAGAAATGTATCCGTCTCACCCTAGCTGCTGGTTGTGTTTACAAAGACAGAGCTGGGAGGAATATATCAGGGCAGTTGGGGTATCCTGGAGAATAGGAATGTCGGGTCATTCAGCATTGATTTGGTTTGATAGTTGCACATAACTGGCCATGCATGTGAAGAAAAAGTGGAATTAAATTAAAAACATACATTTCCCTAAATCAGATAACTGATATTTAAATAGGAATGCTGTTGTTGCACTGTAACATTCTGTTTTATGAATTAGGACAATAACAAATTAGATGTTTTTCTAATTAAAGAAAATATTCTCTTCCAAAAAGGCCTCATCAGTTTTAAGGCTTTGATAGAAGAATCGGAAATTAAAAAGTTTCCAGATAATGATCTGCTGCGACACCTTAGATTAGTTACCCAGGATGCTGACAAATGTGCCTCAGTTGCACAACAACTTCTTAATGGCAAAAGACAAACCAGGTAAGTGTGTGTATGTACATTTGTATGCGTACATGAGTGCACAAGCATATACTGGTTTTGAATAATTCAGGGGTAGATTTCGGAAACCCTTTCTTCCATGGGTTTGAACATTACAGCCTTCTCTGTCCCTTCCAAAGATGTTCTACTTTACTTATCATATGCTTAAAAGTTCATGGACTTACAAAACCCTGACCTAGGCTCTTGTTCCACTTTTATATATTTTCGCAGAGTAAGATGTTGCTATGACATTATAACTTGTTTTTTCTCAGAGAGATTTTGTTGAGCACCCAGATCCTTTTCTCTTTTCCCAAGAGGAAAGACCTATTATGATATTTATGGACAAAAATCATTGTGACACCTTCTTAAACCAAGGCTGTCCAGCTGGTGGGATTAATCTGAAGGCTCCCATCCAGTCACCACTCCCCCTCACCCCCTCATCGGTCCAGCTGCAGCAGCAGCCAGGGTTTCCAGGCTTCTCCTACCTCCTCTGACATATTTGCATCCTGCACCCACCCCAGGGAGCAGTGCAGTTCTGGGGGAGTTTGCAGCACAGTGGAGACTGTGGCTGAGGGTGAGGGGTGCCCAAATGTGCAGTGCAGTGATATCTAGGGGTCCACCCCCATGCATGGTGCAACAAGATAGTGGGGAGCTGCCTGAGATGTAGAAGTTGGACATCCTTGCCTTAAACAGGCAAGAGTCCACTTTACCCATTTTGTGCCATGAGGCAGTGAAGTTGTGATAGTGGTGCGTACATCTTTATATGCTACATGGAAGAACAAAATGCCTGAGCAGAAAGGTCTAATATTACAGGCCCTTGAAAACTTCAGTTATTCATCATCTCTTCTGTAATTTGAGAAAGCTTAAGGTAGAGCTTTCACTGCTAGCAAAATCAAATATTCTTTTGACTAATTATCCACATACACTTGTCACTGGCAGGTGTCTCTCGCAGCCTGTACTTCAACCAGAGACCTTTTTTTGCTCTAGCACAATTGGTAGAGTGCACTTTCTTTGCTTGGGTACAGCCTCCCAGATCTGGGAGTTGGGTTTAGTTCTCCCTTCCTGAAAAGCAGAACTACAACACAAGATGATGACTTTGCCACATATACCAGCCACATGTGTTCTTTCCACTTCCTTGGGTTGCCCTTGTTTGAGTTCCTTCTGGTGCCACATTTTTCTTTAGATGGCTTTACCCAGACCTGTTTCATACTTGGGGTTCAGGCCCTGCCCTTCCAATGCTGAGCTAATTCCAGCTCTATCAGGTGCCTGTTTTGCCTAGGGGGGAGGCCCATATTCCTGAAATTTTGTTCAGGAATTGTTTTCATGGGAGAGAAAAATCTCCAAGACCTCTTAACTCATATAGGCACTAGGTGAGACTCTTGAGGAACTTGATCCCAGGCACAACTTGAGATGCAACTGGTGCGGGTCATTAGAGGTAAAAATAAATAAAAATTTGCCTCCGTGACTTCATTCTACAAATATGTCAAGAGTAAGCGAAAGACCAAAGACACTGTAGGTCCCTTATGAAATGCAGAAGGAAGTGAAGTCACAGATGATGCAGAGAAAACTGAAGCATTTGATGCTGTTGCAGAATTTCCAGTTTGGATTGTAATATACAGGACTTCTACTTCATTTATAGTTTACTTGCCTCTCACGGAGCATATTATGACTTTTGAAACATACTATGCTCTGTATCTTTAGATTTTTTTTTAAATATCTTAATATATTTTCAGAAAATGTTAAATGTTGGCATATGTTTTTCTGCCATCTCACAAATCAAAAAACACCTGTGTAATTTCAGATATCGTTCCGGTGGAGGGAAGTCCCAAAATCAGCTGACTGTGAATGAACTCCGGCTGTTTGTAAGACAGCTATATGCTCTACCCTGTGTCCTCAGTCAGACACCATTACTGAAGGTAACTCTGAGAACACTAGGAGAGAAAGGAAGAACTTGTATTATATGAGGATTGTGAACAATTGTCCACTTGATTAGTAACCAAATAGATGTTAAAATCCCGTAATAGAGAGAGACTTATATAAATGAGCAGGCCTGCATAATTTGCATCCAGAAGTCCTTAAAAGGAGTTGCCTGAGCAGATTCTGACATACTCATGTCTATATTTTTAGTAGATCTTGGAATACCTGAGAAATTAGAGAAACAAAAAAATGCCAATGTTGTATTGTAATCCAGAGGGGAAAGTGGGTTGACCTGGATGAATATAGCTCAATTAATCTGACATCAATCCTGGGCACAATAATAAAAAAAACTGGCATGAAATGTAGTTAAATAATTAAACAATAGGAATATAATTACTGTCAGTCGATACAGGTTTGTGGAAAATGGGTATTCTCTACCAAACCTGGATTCTTAGAAATGATTACAAATATGGTTGATAAAAATAGCCAGGTAATTGTAATAGATTTTTTTTTAAGGTGTCTTGCTTAGAACTGAGTGATTTTTCTCATTAAAATATTAGTGCCACGCAGTGTCAGTAAAGAACATTTTTAAGTAGATTTAGGACAGGTTTACTTTTAATTCTTGGTTTCTCCACATACATTCTAGCATTGTATATCAAATGCAGTGCAAGAATGGATTTGTTTTTGGAATACCAGTGTCTGGAGTTTTATCTATGACCTGGGGCTCTCATAACTATTGTTGATAAAGTTATTAGGAAAATGGGTACCTTAACTAACTTCTGAGAACCTTCTTACCACTTACGGCTTTGAGACTAGATCCACTTTGTCCACATTTCTTCAAAAATAAATATAATAATTGGGTTGTTTTAGGGTTTTTTTACTACTTAATAGTTATCTAAACAGTTATTTAAATGTTTTGTTCCCCTTTTGGATTAAGACATCAATGGGTTTTTTTGCTCCTTCCATCTCCTTTACAAGGATTATAACTGTGTACTGTATGTGCATGCAAAATCAAAATCATATCTCCAGGATTCAAGATTTATCCATCCGGTAATACAGCAATTCCCTTCAACAACAGACATTTACTTAAGCCCACTATAAGGTGCTGGTTGGTATACAGACCTTCTTTAAAGCACATGCTAAAATCAAAACTAAAGGCTTATCTCCTAGGGACAGCTACACAGGAATCTCCAATCAAAACTAAAGGCTTATCTCCTAGGGACAGTTAAACAGGAATCTCCCCCTCCAGCATGCCCCAGTATCCATTCTGACGCATCCATTATTAGCTTCCATTTACTCTGGTGTAAGAAGCGTGCATACACAAACCCCTTTGGAGCAGCTGATGCAGGGTAAAGTCTCTTCTGACTCCCTGTAATTTGTTTTATCATCCCCTCAGCTTAACTTTTGCAACTTTTTTTTAACCTTGCACTTTTTGACTATAGCTTTCTTTATCAGGACACAGTTTTCTAGTCCTTGTTGATTCTTTGCTTAGTCTTGGTATCCTTTTTGAGATGGTTGTTCCTCCACTTAGAACTGAATCCCTTCCCCACAACATTTTTTCCCTTTTTTGGAAGATGGGGATTTTGGCTTATTGATTAATCTACATAAAATGATAGTGAGCTGCCAGTTCTATGCAGCTGTAAAAAAGTCTAACTCAGTCTTACAGTGTTTTAGGCTAGGGTGTGTAATAGGGTCAAGGAAGTACTAGTATTATTGTACAAGGAAATGAGGGTGACTTTCTGTTCCCTTCCTGATCATCCAGGTGCTTTGATTTGGCTGTTTAAAATATGGGTATATTCCATGCTGCAAAAAAACTGATAGGCAGAATTGATTATAGGAACTTTGGCCTGTGTTTGTACCAGTGGGATGGAAGGACAAGAGAAGGCTGGTAGGGAATGGAGACACCTGATAGAGAGCTACATATGTACTAAGTCACTTCCGTATGTAAGAATTAGCATTAATGTAAGTGTCCTATTAGGTGCATGCATTGGAAATGTTATATAGTGTCTAGCCACATCTTTAGTTTTTTTACTTTTCTTTCTCATGTTTACAAGGCAACACTTGCATAATTAGCTTCTCTCAGGTATGCACTTAAAGGTAGTGTATACTCTGTAGCTTCTTTATCCAGACATCTTCATTGTTTCCTCTTCCTCTTCTGGTCATGTCCAATGCTGCAGTCGTTATTGCCTTCTCCTTCCCTGTTCCTGCTTTTTTCTTTTAAAAAATAAAAAGGGGGAGTGGCCAGCCTGTGGCGCAGGTGACATGGCAGTCTCTGTGTGTGGCACATGGCAGATTGGGTAGGGGGCCGGCATGGGTAGGGGGCCGGCATGGGTAGGGGGCCGGCAGCATAGTGGCAGATAGGGCAGGAAGCAAAAAGCCAATGAGCAGATTATTCAGGGAGCACAGGGTGAGGAGCAGAAAACAGAACAGTAGATCAGGCAAGGGAAGGGAATCGGGGTGTTAGGAAGGGTTTGGGGTCATTAGTGGCACACCTGTCAAAAAAAGGTTGTCCCCCCACTCCTTTAAAAGACAAACCCTCTGTAAACTCCTATGCAGATACCCTACTCCTCTTTGCTGAAGTTCTTGTTTGTGGCTACATAGATCTTTAAATCTCTGTAGGTCAGCCCTCTCCCCTTGTTTAGATTTGGTGTTAACTGTCTTATCAGCTGTGATTAAGGGCAGGAAGCCTTCAGGCTAGGGTATGCCAACCCCCGCCTTACAGCAAGAGAATTAAAGAGCTCAATCCAAAAGAATGCAGAGAGATTATATGATTATATTGTATAAATACTTTCATTTTGGAGAAAAGAGTACTAACAACATGTTAGTGAGAACCAATGGCTGGAAGATGAATCCTGCCAAGTGGAAACTGGAAATAAGACTTTTTTTATCGTTTGGAAAAGCTGTCATGGGAAGAAGTGTTGAATTCCCTCTCTCTCTTCTTACATCGAGATCGAATGCCTTTCCCGAAGAGAGACAGACAAGATTCTTTGCTCAGCACAAGTTATTGGATTCACATTACAGTTGGGAGGGGGTAGTAATTGGGTGAAATTTAATGGCCTGTGATGAAAGAGCCATAGAAGATTTTGTAGTCGCCGTTTGATCTCAAATTCTATTACTCTTTAAATGAAAACACTTAAACTTCAATATTTTTGCAAATGGGAGGCCTGATATTGCATTCATTCTCAATACTGTGCAATTTAAATTATTTTAAATCTCAAGGAGTTGGAAAGATGCATCTTTAATAAGCAAGCTTGTCTTGTGGAGTCCAAGGGTACATCCTCTTCTTCCTTTAATGTGTTTAAGTCTAATCCTGTTCTACACGTAGTTTATTAATGCACTTCCATCCTACCCCTTCGATCATAAGTGGATAAGGCCCACCCACCTTGTGCGGCAAGTTTTTAGGGACCTAAACAAGGTGGAATCAGATTCATCTTCAAGCCCAATAGGTGGAGTGGTATGTTTAGTGTTGTTGTTTGTTTTCTTAACTAAAGGAACAACCAAGGTTATTCTGTTCTTAGAAGAGCTTTTAGCTTTCTCTATTAATTGCTGCTGTTGTGTATTTCAGGATCTTCTTGATCGTGTGGAAGCTTTCCAACAGCATAGCCAGAAACTGCTTTCTGAAGAAATACCCAGTGCAGCAGAACTACAGAAGCTCTTAGATGTCAGTTTTGAGTTTGATGTTGATCTTCCGCAACTACCTGAACTGCGGATACGCCTGGAGCAGGCACGCTGGCTAGAAGACGTACAGCAGGCTTGCGCGGACCAAAGCTCCCTTACTCTTGACGATATGAGACGACTCATAGACTCGGGTGTTGGATTGGCTCCTTATCCAGCAGTTGAGAAAGCAATGGCTAAGCTGCAAGAACTCCTTACTATATCTGAACACTGGGATGACAAAGCCAGAAATTTGATAAAGGCCAGGTAGAAGCTAAATCTTCTTAGTGTTGTGTCCTGCATACTGTAACAGAAAAAACAAGCTAATCCCAGTCTTGACTTTGTTTATGTAGCCATACTCATTTCTGAATGTATGAATAGCATAAAAGTGTTATTGTTTAGCTTGAGTCAGATAATGCATAGAATTGCATGCATTAGATTAGTGGGGGCATGTGGGCCACAAATCAACCCTAAACCTTCCCCAAGTGTCACTCCAATCCTTTTGTCCTGCCCAGTTTGCTTCTCTGCTTCTGCTCCCTGCCCAGTCTGCCCCTGTTCTGCCTGTCTCTTTCCCCCATCCGCTGTGTGCCCCACACAGAGGCTTCCTGTGTCACAGGTTGAGCATCCCCATAGTAGGTTATAAGATGGACAGATATTTCATGCACATATGTTTGGTTTACATGGAGCATGAGGAAGAGTAAGTTGAAACTTCATATCTGTTTCAGTAGGATAATTACATCAATAATTTAGACCAGCGTAAGCAAGGTATGAATTTAAACCAGTGCATTATTTGTACCAGGATCACTCTCTCATGTTAACACTTATACTACAATGTAAGAGTGCCTTTCATGGTTTAACTTTATCACTTGGGATGGCCTAGCCACTCATAAGAGAGTAAGTACATCCAGATTGGTAGATATACTGGTATAACTATAGTTGTATTAGTAGAAGTGGTGAAACTTTCCTGTGTAGACAAGGCCTGAAGATGCAGAGGTGATTTGCTCAGGTCAGTATGGCCATTCAAAAAAGGAAAAATGTTCAGCTATTAAAAACTTACTGCTGGATGCTTAAGAAGTCATAATGAAGGCTATGATTTTCACTGCAAAAATATGGGGGATTAAAAAGCAAAATCAGTAAGAGCAGCTAAACAATAATCTTCTGAGTGCATTTGTTTTCAGTGAGTATTTTCTTATTGGAGTTGTAGTGGGCTATTACTTTTTTTTTCTCTTGTATGCCAGCATATTTGGTGAACTAGATCTCCTAGGTCCCCTCTAGACATTACATGTGTTTGCAGGATATATAGACTTGTCCAGAGAAGAAATGGCTGATCTTCCCCCAAAATAGCTGATTCAAAAAGCAACTATTTTGTTGTGCTGGAACAAAAATCTGGCCATATCTCTATTCTCCACAGTGCTCTTCCTCCCTCCTGCCATCCCCATCCCAAGGGGACAGGCAGAGTAAGCATTTGGCTCCCTGACAGTTTGGTACTTCGATTTCCCCCCCCCCCCCCCCCCCCCCACCATGCTTTGACTATCAGAACTAAAGCTAAACTACATTGTCACATTCTGAGTAGGATGTGTGTTTTTTCATTTACATAGACCACGACAGACACTAAGCAGTCTTGTAGCTGCAGTAAAGGAGATAGAGGAGATTCCCGCTTATCTCCCAAATGGAATTGTGCTGAAGGATGTTGCACAAAAGGCCAAAGATTGGCTACAAGAAGTGGAAGCCTTGCAGGTAGGTGAAATGAATCTGTCTGCTGTTCATTTGGGAATATCCCTCAATATCAGTATATTACTATATAATTTTTTTCACATTAAATGTACCTGCCTTATTTTCATGCCAAATTAAATATCTTGGATTTGTAATGGCTGTTGCCTTAAAATAGTTGTGCAATTAAACAATAGTGATTGCTCCATCTCAGACAGTAGTGGACCTTATTTATATTACCTTGGTCTGGAGTTAACTCACTAAGGGAGGTACTGATGCATAAAAAAATGCAACACATTTACCATTGTGCAAACCTCTACTCAAGATGAAGGTCTCCAATTGCCAGTTATCAGTGTTAAAATATAGTGCAATTATTATGTTTTTGTACCATTACCCAGCAACAAGAAAAGCATAAAATTATTAGACTCCCCTTAAAGATCATTGAACGTTAGCTTTCTCCTAGTCTTTCAGTTGCAAACCTTTACATGTTTACATCATATTGGGCTCCAGCCCATTCTCAGAATCAAAGGGTTGAAAAAGACATTGGGTCATGTGGACCTTCTTTGTATGAAATCAGGAATACTATTTCTAAAGGGTGCTCAATGGGAAATGTCCACATGGATGAAGTAGGGCACTCCCATCTTTAAGCCCCATAGTCTAGGAGCTTGGGTATATAACCAAGAAGTGGGAGACCCAGGTTCTAGACTCTCATCAACCTGAACCCACATTTCCTACTTCTAAGAAAAGTGCCCTAATCACAAAAATTAGCTTAAGCAGGGTGTGAGCATCTGCCTAAGCATCTGCTTTCTGCACAATCAAGAATTATGGGACCAGAAGGAGAGGAAACCAAAAGAGGTACTGTGACTACGGCCTAGTGAGGAGGCCACTTCCCTGGAGGGAAGGAACCATGGTTTGGAGATATGGGTTTGAACTGCCTCTGGTTGAGGAGGGCCCAGATATGAGCTCCCATTTCCTGGGAAGTGCCATAACGATTTTACAGACTAGTTTACAAACTAGTCAGAGGGGACCAGCAGGCATTGGGGGAGTCCCTGTTCCCCCAAGCACTCCCAGGAGTGACTAGAAATAACGGTCACAAGCTGGCAGAAGGTAGGTTCAGACCAGACATCAGGAGGCGCTACTTCACTGTCAGGGTGGCTGGGAGCTGGAACCAACTTCCAAGAGAAGTGGTGCTGGCTCCTACCCTGGGGGTCTTTAAGAGGAGGCTGGGTGAACACCTTGCCGGGGTCGTCTGACCCCAGTACTCTTTCCTGCTATGGCAGGGGGTCAGACTTGATAATCTGCTCAGATCCCTTCCGACCCTACCAACTATGAAACTATTAGACAATTCGGCTAAAACATAGATAAAGGCTGCCTTTCTCCTCTCTCTGTGACTGGTTTTCCCTTAGGAGATGGGTAAGATAGAAGAAAGATACCTTTTTGGGTAAATTAGGATTGTATCTCTGAGGTGAGCCACCTTTGTTTTGGGGCTAGCCACAGAAAAGATTTAAACATCTTAAAGGGGAATTATGGTCTGGCCCTCCATGTTCCAAGCTGCATGTGCTTTGCTGGTAAAAGCCTTATTGCTAAGACTGTCTTTTTATTTCAGTTGTAATACAGCTGCTATTCTGTCTTTAGGGAATGGTATTTTCAGAGACTGGTGACTAGCTATTACAGTGTATTATATTGTAGCTTGAAAGGTTTTATGACCCGGTCATGTTAATTGTATTTAATAAGTATGCATAGTGTCCAGGTGACAGGTGCAAAGTTCTAATGTTTTCTACCATTAAATACATCAAATACCTTGTAATAATTACGAGCAGCCGTTCGTGTCAGATGAAATATCAGGGGAAATAAAAACTTAAACAAAATGGATTTCTACAGTATTGCCTATTTTTTTTATGTTCTTTAACATTTTGCTGTACCTGACATTTTCCCTTGAAGCTATACATCTGTTAGGATTTCTGTTAACTGCCTCCAAAGGATTTATAGATGCTCTGAAACAGTCAAACTCTCATTTTCTTACTGGACACTTGAAGAGAATATAAAACAGTGTGGCTAGATATAAAAGATATTTTTGTCAGTTGAACTACTTTTCTTTGAAGAAATTGCTGTCTAGCCAGGCTGGTCTCTTGTTGCACTTCCCATTCTTCTGTTGCATTGGAACAGCTTGCTCCTGTGCCCTTTAAAAGGGCCTAATTTAAAGTTCAGCCAGCTCTCCTGGACTCCTTTTCTGTTCAGACTTGCTTCCCAGGAGATCATGGCCACCAGTTCTCTGATTTCATTAGTCTGCTTTTCTGAAGTTCAGTGTCCTTATTCTTCTGCTTTCCTTCCTTCCTCCTCTCAGGATCTTGAGCTCTATCATTTCATGGTTAGTGTTATCCAAGTTACTGTCCACCTTCACATTCTCAACCAATTCCTCCCGTTTTGTGAGCAGTTGGTGTACTTAATGTTAGGGGCATTTTAAAAGATCTAGTTGTCCAATAACTTGTATCAAAAATTGGAAAAAATAATTAACAACTAACTTCTAATGCTTTACCAGATAAAAGAAGTACCTTAATGATAGATTCTGTTTTACAAAACCTTTTTCCAGCTTAGCTCAAAGAGCTTTATGTTTTTTGTTCTACTTGCAACAAATAATTCTTACCGTCTTATATTGTTAGGGTGGAGGGCGTGTGCCAGTACTTGACACGCTTGTGGAGCTTTTGACAAGAGGTCGCTCTATCCCAGTACATCTGGACTACTTGCCAAGGCTGGAGTCCTTAGTGGCAGAGGTTCAAGCTTGGAAGGAATGCGCCAGCAATACATTTCTGACGGAGAACTCCCCTTATTGTCTTTTAGAGGTAAGACATCTAAATCACACACGTCCTCAGAGTTGACGTCCAGGCAGAAGCACATTGTAGCAGTGGGTGTTAATCCCATAGAAAAGTGGGGCCATCGCATCATATCGAAGTTGAAGGTGGTTGCATAATGTTCCATTTAATGCAGTTCTCTAGCTCCTTCTTATGTTCCAGCTTAACAGCTTGTTGGGTGAAGCTTTATGTGTATGTCTGTTCTAAATAGTATCTATGTGTATAGCTATGTCAAGCCAGGATTAATGTTGAAGATAGTTGTGCTTTTTTTTTTTATCTATTAGGTGTTATGTCCCAGATGTGATATTGGAATATCTGGGCTTAAAAAAAAACAGAAGAAATTAAAGGAGCCAGTACCAAGTGGAAAGAAGAAAGGCACCAAACTGGAGAGTCTGAGTGACCTAGAAAGAGCTTTATCTGAGAGTAGGGATACTGCCTCTGCGGTACGTAACAAAACTTACCAATAGGCATGTCAATATAAGCTCAATTTAAGATTTCTTCCCTGATTTGATGTATACTTTTTTTTATATATGACTTTGTGTGTCTCTCACAACCTGCAATTATCAACCCCTCTTTCTGCTGCCCACAGTGAATGAGTTATAGATTTCTGAGGGATCCTGTGCTGTTACTATCAGCTTCAGAACTAAGTCTTGCCCCTTTCTTTGGAGCCTCAAAAGTTCTGTCTCCAAAGACAAGCTGCCTTCTGTGTTTCTGACCAATTTGTTTCATTCTTTTCATTTGTTGTGCAATAACAATCTTATTTCAGCTTCTAGTTCTTTTCTCTCTATCTTCAGCTTGGCAACCACCGGACTCCCACCCATTAGTACAGTTTTTCTTTATAGAACTTCATCTGTCCACCCTCCCTTTTATCCCTAGCTGAGCACGAACTCACTAGCAGAGCAGTTCCGCACTCTTCACTAAGTCCAAATGGAGCTATGTTTTTGAGGTACCCTTCAGAAACTTATGAAAGAGATCTCTACACTGCCTTCCCCCAGCCAACTGGCTCCCCCTCTTCCAGAGCATGGAGCTCTAAATTAAACTGAGATAGTAGAGCTTTGACACCTTGCTTTACTGTGGAAAATTTAAGCAGGAGGGATTCTCACTTGGGTCTGTTCACATATTTGGAGAAGTTCTCCAGAGTTGCAGGTAGCTTTGAGGAGCTTTGTCTTAACTGCTGAAGGGGAGTTAGTTTGTGGGGTGAAAATTTAGGAATTTCAGTGCAGTTAAAGGAACCTAGTTCAAGACTTTTTTTAACACAGAAAGTAGGGGAGGGGGTCACTCTCTTCAGCCTTCACAACTTGGACTCCCTATTTTAAACAGCTGGTACCCAAAGAGCACATGAGGTCTCCATTTCTCATGCATCCTTGAATACTAGTAGAGTAAATGAGAAATTGCATCCAAAACACATTGCCTTATTAAACAAAGCCACAAGCTCGGAGCTTTTCTGAGAAGCAGCCATACAATCTAGGCCAGTGGTGCCTAACCTTTTGATCCTGCAAGCCAGATAAGCCAGATCCTGCATGAGGTCAGCATGGGGGCGGTCAGTCCAGTCTCTTGTGTTGGATCCAGCCATATGGGCCTCGCCGTAGGTCCGGAAATTTGGCAGCGGGGGAGCAGCAATTAACACAGGCACCATTCCTGCACTGCCAGATTTCCAGACTTTGTGTTGGAGATCTGCAGGCCAGATAACATGACTGTGTGGGCTGAATCTAGCCCATTAAGCGTTGCTACTCTAGGCAGAGAAGAATCTGGTATTTTCTAAGCCAGATCACAGTAAGGGTATGATGGAACAAAAAGACAAAAAGAGTAAGCATGGTTTTGGAGACTGATGTAGCAGCCAAAAAACTCGTTCACATTTTGTTCCTCAGCTCAGGCACTGACAAAGAAATGTAG